GCTTCTAAAGAAATCTAAGGGCTCAATCCTATTGGGATTATTCACATTACTGTGTTTCAATTCTCTGGCACATAGCTATGTCTAAAGAAATTATTTGTTAAATAGGTGCAGGCATGAAGAATCTCAACAATGCTCGTACCGAAACCCAGATATTTTATGAATATATGTATATGGTGCATCAGGGTGGAATATGATAGGATTTCTCAAGTGTGTGAGCCTACATGAGGTACGAGCAGCATTCAGTCCTTAGTCCCATACTCCTGTCCTCTTCCTTAATTAATGTCAGCCTCTCAGACCAAATTCTGTCTGCATGCATGAGACGAGAATCCCCTCAGGTTGTACTGCCATCTTCTATATAATCTGGAATCCTGAGGAGTCCAGAAAATCCATCATTTCTCTCAAGGGGCACATTTTCCAGCAGCATGGTCCCAGAAGAAGACACAAATCCCGGGGTCCAGAGCTGGTTTCAGCAGTGAACCTGCTGCCTGGCTAAATGAGAAAGGAGGGGTGGCTTCATCTTGGAGCATCCCTGCTTAGTAGCCTTCCCCACCAGGACCACACAACATCCTTTGAGGGCCACTTGTCCCTCTGACTCCCAGGACCAGAGATGCCCCCAGCAAACACATTCCAGGGCCAGGCTGTTTAGGAGGCCTGTGTCATTATGTAGTCCGGGGATCCCTCAGCCAGCTGGAGCCTGGTGTTTGGGGGATGGCCGAGAGTTTTGCCCCCGCTGGTCCTGGCAGGCTTTACGGCTGGAGATTGCAGTGCAATGCAAAGGGAGCCATTTGACAGTGTTTGCACCTTATCATTTCCAAAGAATCTCTGCTCTTGAGACAATCGGTACTCTCTTAGCTGTCTGTCAAGTTCAAGCACTTTTTATCTTAAACACATCAGAGTGTTGGGGCTGAGGGAAACAACGGAAGGACACTCACCACAAGAGAAATTATTTGCAGGGGCTCAATTTCCCTCAGGTTCTTATCTTTCTGCTAATCTTCCTTACCATGTCAGTCTGGGGAAAAAATTGGCCCTCTCCCGGTGGATCTGGCTCCTAACATACTTTATAATCCTGGTTTGGAGCAGCTGGGAAGTCTCTGTTTTGGTGAAACCACTGTTTCAGGGTGAATCGGTCACTTCCTCCAGGCCACCTTCTTCCTGTTCTGCCACAGGCCAGTGATATTCCCATTTGGGGACAATCCATCATGGCTTTAATCTATATTTTGTATGGCACGGGACAGTGAATGGACACTCCATCAACCACAGACTCAAGGGCATTGCTGCTGCCGGCACCTTGGATGGGATCTCATAGAAACTGGTAAACAAAATGTATTATATCCCTCTATCTTGACAAATATATTCTCTTAATGATGAAAACCAAAGCATATGTATGAATCTATGGTTTTAATGTGTCTGAGGTCTGGCAAAATGTCAGTCTATTAAATTTAATTATTACTGTACATATCCAGCTCATCTGTCAATGGGTTGGTGATAGTTGAAGGAGTGATAAAGATTTATGTAACTTCTGGATTATGTATTTGTTCCATAAAATTAATTCTCTTGCTTTTATTTCAGCAAAATCACTAATTTTGTCATATTCAAGATAGTTTTCAACTCATAGCAATGGTCTAAAAGTATTTCAAAAATTATAATTGTAGTCAAAGTACACAAAATTAAATTGTATTCAAAGTACACAAAACATATATTTATGAGAACATATAAATTAAATATAAAATTTATTTTATATGTTTCTAAAAAGTTTTCTTTTAAAATTTTCAAAATGTATAGGGGTGCCTGGGTGGTTCGGTTGGTAAGCACTCGACTCTTGATTTTGGCTCAGGTCTTGATCTCAGGGTCATGAGTTCAAGCCCTGTGTTGGACTCCATGCTAGGTGTGGAGACTACTTAAAAAAAATACACACACACACACACACACGTGTGTGTGTGTGTGTGTGTGTATTCAAAATTGTCTATTAACTTTAAAGGGTAAAATACAAATTATAATTAATAGATGCCAAAATTGTATTGAACATATTAACATTTAAAGTCAATCTTATTATTATGTTTTTCTTAAAGATTTTATTTATTTATCTGACAGAGAGAGAGGAGAGAGCAAAAGCAGGAGGAGAGGCAGAGGGAGAGGGAGAAGCAGGCTCCCTGCTGAGCAGAGAGCCCGATGTGGGACTCGATCCCAGGACCCTGAGATCATGACCTGAGCTGAAGGCAGACGTTTAACTGACTGAGCCACCCAGGTGTCCCAACAATCTTATTATTTTTATAAAAATAAAACTTCGCATTTTAAACATTCTATTGTCCATCTGGTTGCCAACATAAAGAATTGGTACCATGATACATGCATGATACGTGAATGGAAACTTGAGAGTAATATGAAATGTTAAAATTGCAAAATGTTCTTAAGCCACCATTTGTAGCTTTTATGAAATACTGTGCAAACTGAATACCATGGGAACCAGAAATTAAAACAGGAGAAGAAAAAGAATTCTTGACATTATTGAGAAATGGTACTTTTTACCTTAGAGGATGAATTCCACAAGTTTGACTTTTCTCTTAATCCAGCGCTCGTTTCCTCTCACATCCTGCAAACATTCCAAAGCAATGTCATCATCGTGACCCACGATCCTTCACCACTTCCACATCCTGTCACCTTTTCTTTCAAGGATATGGGGCAAGAGATGTGAAAATGCATTTCCCTGGGGCCTGAAGAGTGCGGCCATGAAGGTGGATGTTAAGAGTTATGGGCTGTGCTGTGCCAGCTCTAAGCACCAGATCCTGAGTGATAGGGGCACCCATGTGCTTTTAATAAATTTGTGTGTGACTGTGGTATGTGAACCACTCTCAAATACCTCTTGCCTAGGTCTAAGGGAGGTTCTATATATATGTCAGCCATAATCAAACTCTCCAGGAGAAGCTACTGCTAACATTTTGGAACATTTCCCATACTTTGTTTTCACATATGAGAATATGCCTTATATACAGTCTTGTATCCTGCTTTGTTGATAAAACAGAAGTTACCGGTTAACTTAACACTAGTAACTTCTGCATTCTTTAAATACTACAGGAACTTGTTGCCCTGTCGTGGAAGGTAACACCCTCAGAGCTGGAGGAAGGATCTTGTTGTTTTCACTGTGGTGAGTTCAGCAGAAATTAAATCTAAGACACCAGTCAAAGCAATTAAATAAATAAAAATTCAGAAATACAATTCAAAGCACAGTGTTATACACAGCAGAAGGCATTTAAGACGTACGAGACAGTTTCTTTTCTTTTCTTTTTTTAAAGAATAGGTTTGTTTGTTTTTTCCTCCAAGATTTTATTTAAATTCAAGTTCATTAACATATAGTGTAGTATGGGTTTTAGGAGTAGAATTTAGTGACTCATCACTTATATATAACACTCAGTACTCATCACAACAAGTGCCCTCCTTAATGCCCATCACCCAGTTACCCCATCCCTCCACCTCCTCTGCTCCAGCAACCCTCAGTTTGTCTCCTACAGTTAAGAGTCTCTTATGGTTTGCCTCCCTCTCTGTTTTTTTATCTTATTTTATCTTTCCTTCCTTCCCCTATGTTCATCTGTTTTGTTTTTTAAATTCCACACGAGTTGAAACCATATGGTAGTTGTCTTTCTCTGACTGACTTATTTCGCTTAGCATAATACCCTCTAGTTCCATCCACGTTGTTTGCAAATGGCAAGATTTCATTCTTTTTGATGGTTGAGTAATATTCTTTGGTATATGTATACCACATCTTTATCCATTCATCTGTGAACATCTGGACTCTTTCCATAATTCGGCTATGTGGACATTGCTGCTATAAATACTGGGGTGCATGTACTCTTCATATCACTATGTTTGTATCCTTTGGATAAATACCTAAGAGTGCAATTGTTGGGTCATAGGTTAGTTGTATTTTTAACTTCTTGAGGAACCTCCAAACTGTTTTCCAGAGTGGCTGCACCAGCTTGCATTTCCACCAACAATGTAGGAGGGTTCGCCTTTCTCCACATCCTCGCCAACATCTGTCATTTCCTGAGTTGTTAATTTTAGCCATTCTGACTGGTGTGCGGTGGTACCTCACTGTGGTTTTGATTTGTATTTCCCTGATGCTGAGTGATCTTGAGTATTTTTGCATGTGGACATCAGAAATTTAAAATAAAGGTGTGAGCAAGGCTGCATTCCTCCTTGAGGTTCCAGGGGAGAAATTGTTTCCTTGCCTTTTTCAGCTTCTAGAGGTCCCTTTAGTGCATCAGTCCAACCTCTTGCTTATGTCTTCACAGCTCCTCCTACTCACTCTGATCTTCCTGCCTCCCTCTTAGAAACATCCGTCTGATGGTGTCTGTGGCAAACACCAGGCAGTCCAGCTTCAGAAAGGCTGTCGTGTGCTGCAGCCCACAGGCACCCAGTCTGTGCACTCCCTGCCACCATGATGCCAAAGAGGAAGGTCAGCTCCACCAAAGGGGTGGTGAAGGAGAAGCCCAAGAGGAGATCAGCAAAGTTGTCAGCTAAACCTACTCCTGCAAAAGTGGACACATAGTCCCAAAAGAGGCAGCAGGAAAGGATAAATCTTCAGACCAAAACGTGCAAGCAAAAAGGAAAAGCAAAGCAAAGGGAAAACAGAAGGAAGTGGCTAACCAAGAAACTAAAGATTTACTCCTCTCCATATCCTTAACTTACTCACATCTACAAAATCTTTCTTATCGTGTAAGGTAACATAGTTTCTAGGGATTAGAGCATAAATATTTTCAGGGGGCATTACTCAGCCTACCACACCCACCAAAGTTTTTCAGATATGTGATAAATTGCATAACATTTTACCCTAAACAAATCATTACATATGAACCAGGGAAGCAAGAAAGGAAAATATCAGATGGAAAGGTCAGAGTGGAGAATATAATATTGTTTGTCTCTAGTTTCAGAGTCTAGTGTCAAGGATTTGAAGAGTTAATTGTTTTTTACCTTCCTTGCCTTCTGGGGCTGCCACCCCCTTGCTCTCAGAACCACATTCTCTCAGCTGTGGCTATGGAGTTGGGCATCTCTAAGGATATCTGCTGCTTTGCACAGGCCTGATGCTTACTCTCATGGTCCCAGAGTCCTCTGGGCTTGCCCAGATGGGTTTCTCATGCTGGGCCTTTTCCCTTTTTATATTGTTTTTGCCCTACCTTTTCATCCCTTCATAGACTCTGTGCAAATATCAGGGTCCCGTGAAAGAAGTTAAAAGCATTATCCCAGACCTCTTAGGCTGACAAGAGGAGAGGAGGCAGATACCTGACATCCACCTTGACTTCTGTCCTGTCACCAGATTTTAAGCTGCTACCATTGAGTGATGGGGCGGGGGGGGGGGGGGGGGAGATCCAGCAGCAGCATGAAGAGGAGGGGGTTGTTTTCTGCTCAGTAGATCACAGACCTCTCTCCCTCACTTTCAGGCCCCTTATTTATCATTCCAACTCCTGCCACCAGCTATCCAGGCTAGATGTCACTTATTTTTGCCTCCAGTACAAGGGGACTGAAGTCAGTCCTTGACACGTAATAATAACCTCTGAAATAGCTATGGATGAGGCAACTTACCTAACTAAACTTCCTTGGGATGGGTGTATAACTGCTGGAGGAGTTCCCCCAAAACAAGGGCAGATTTTCTAGTTACTTGAGTTAGACTGGTTCACACATCAAACAACACAAATGAAGTGTTCTTCTCCAATGCCCTTGGGAAGGGAGACCCCTTGAAAAGCACCGAATGCACGGCTGCCTTCAGCTCTTGGGACCCTGTTCCTACCATTCAACTGTCAGAATTCAGCCAAGATGCCAGGAAGGTCTGTTAAGATGTGCATGAGACTATTTGAAAGAACCTTGGAGCTGCAAGGCTGGAGCCAGATAAAAAAACCCTGCATCTACACAACCCATTCCAGCTTCTAGGGCCCAGATGAAGATGAGGCAGTTGAAGACTGTGAGGTGCTTGCCTTGGGCACAAAATCTAATCAAGTAATCAAGAAAATAATATTTTGATGGAGTATTTTTTAAAAATGAAAATTAATACAAAAGCATCCCCAGAATGTTTATGGGTAGCTGTATAATTGTTGATCATTGTGGGAGATGGAGGCTGGGGTCTCCTGCCATTTTTGGTCCAGATAAAATCTTAATGTAGGTTTAGGTGGCCATATACCCTAATCCCTAATAGCAACAACATTATAAGGAAAGCTCCTAAATTTGAAAAATTTGTTTTCAAAAATGGAACTTGGATGATGATGGTTGAGACACACCTTTGCCTCTAAGCCACACTCAGCATTGAGGTTCTCAGGTGCCTTGTCTTAGTGCCACCCACGGCAACATATAAACACTCTTCCCTTACTTTCTCAAATATCCCTACCTATTGCTTTTTTCCATTTCTGTTTGTTGGCTAGCTTCCACTGCTTCATAGCCTCTCTTATCAACCACAGCAGTGGTTCTCAAACATTAGTGGCATCACAATCACCTGGAGAGCATGATAAACTACAAATTGCTGGGCCCCACCCCCAGAATTTCTTTTTTTTTTTTTTAGAGATTTATTTATTTATTTGAGAGAGAGAGAAAGAGAGAGAGAGAGGGAGAGTCTTTCAAGCAGACTCCATGCTAAGCACAGAACCCCACGCGGGGCTTGATCTCACCACCCTGAGATCACAACCTGAGCCAAAACCAAGAGTCAGAAGTTTAACCAACCGTGTCCCCTAGATGCCTCCCCCCCCCAACCACCCCTGATTTTCTGATGCAGTAGGGCTGTCTGGGGTCTGAGAATTTTCATTTCTGTTAAGTTCCCAGTTGCTCTGCTGCTGTTCTGGGGACTTTGAAAACTACCAAACTACAGTGATGGTTCTCAAGCATAGAATCACCTGGGAGCTTTACAAAAATACTGACACCCAAGTCATTGCAGACCAATTAAGTCAGACTTTTTTGGCGAAAGGGCATACATTAGGTTTCTAGGATTGCTGTAACAAATTACTACAAACTAAGCGGCTTAAAACAACAGAAATTTTTTCATTCACAATTCTGGAAGCTAAAAGTCCTAAGTAAGGTGTTGGCAGGGACATGATCCCTCAAAGGGTCCAGGGAGGGAGCTTCCAGCTTCTGGTTGTTGCCAGCAATCCTTAGCATTCCTTGATCTCTGCCTTCCCCCTTCACATGGCCTTCTCTCCTATGTGTCTCTGTGTATCTATGTCTGTGTGTCCTCTTCTCCTCTTATAAGAAGACAAATGATTGAATTTAGGGCCCACCCTAATCCAGTATGACCTCATCTTAAATTACAGCTTCTTTTTTTTTTTTTAAGTTGGCTCCACGACCAGCAACCTTGAGATCAAGACCTGAGCTGACATCAAGAGTCAGACATTTAACCATGTAAGCCACCCAGGGGCCCCCTAACTTACATCTTAATTGTATCTGCAAGGACACTATTTCAAGGAAGGCCACATTTTGAAAATCTGGGTGGACATGAATTTAGGGGAAGGTTGGAGTCCTATTCAACCCACTACAGGGCCCTCATTTAATTGAAGACCCCTGAGGGCAAGATCCATTATTATCCAACTTCCATAAAAAGTCTAGCACAAAGTTTGATGCCAAAAAAAAGTTCTTGAATGGATGAGCCTGTGTGTTCTCTTCTCCTTCTAATTCATAGTCATCATAACATAACAGATACAACACACTTCTAATTTATCTTAAAATCTTGTTAAAACTAACTGCAGATTTCAAGGACTTTAAAGTGTTTAACTGTATGACTAATTCAGTTAAATTAAAGACTTTTTCCTTAAGCAACAGAAGATACTAAAGGTATTTCTTTGTAAAAAGACTGGTACGCTGTTCCTCAGGGCATTTTATAGGAAACATACCTATAAAGAGCCCAGATTGCACACTGCTGAAAGCTTTTAATAATAAGAAACAATGTTTTTGAACTTCCCATTATAAACTAGAAATAATATTTTCACATGAAACAAAAATGCTAAATTACTAAACCACCTCCCTAGGGTTTTGAATTTTGTACAGTAAAATGATTGTTTTCCATGAATTAAGACCACAGGCGTGTCTCTTTAGAACGCCCATGATGCAGAGCAGGAGACAAAACACCTGTTATCTGAACATCAGCATAGGAGAGGCTGCGATCCACAGGCTTGGGGTGGGTACTGGCTAACAACAGACAACGGGGCTAAGAAGAATGTGGCCACGTGTTGGGAGGTATGATGGGTGTTCTAAGAGCAGCTGGAAATCAGAGAGTGACTAAGGTTAGGTCTGGATAAGATGGCATCTAAGGATCACAGGCAGAGTTGTCAAAATGGCTCCGAGTTTACGATGTCTCTATTATGCCGATATTGGGTACAGGGGCTTAATGGTGTTCCATGAACCCTGCCCTGGGATGCCTTGGAGCAGCAGTGTATAGAATGGGACTTGTACTGAACTGAGAATTGGAGCCCTAGATTCTGGTCTCAGTTCTACCACAAATGAGCTCTGAGGTTCTCTGCAGTTTTTAAATATGTTGATGTGGGGGATGCAATGTAATTAATAACGTATCTAAGCATGTGTATCCTGCTTTGTATTGCTATGTCTGCATTATGCAGGTATCTCTGAAAAAAAAATAAACTGAGAGATTTGGTCACTTATTTGGATTTTCAAAAGTATTTTTCCATTAATGTATTTCTGGTTTTGACACCCTTTATGATAGAAAATTCCTTCTTAAATAAACCAGGAACATGCAGTGTTTAGAAGTTATGAGACTATCTAAGGGTTTTTGTGACATTTATGATGTTTTAAAAGATCTCTATAGCCACACACTCAATAGTTACAATTTCCAATTTCTTTTTAAAGCAGTGGCAGTGACAGCTGTCCACCAGAACATTGTCTTACTTCTCTCTTGACCTATTCTGCTAATGAACTCCACTGAGAGAGACGGAGTCATGTGCCCATTTCAGAGCAGACTCTCAGCTTTCTGAGAACTTGCAAGTTCTATCTTAGTTCTCCCATCTTAATACTTTTATTTAGTTATAGAGATTTTGTAGGATAAAAATCAAACATAATTAATGTTATGTGATGGATGTTTCTGGGACAGATGCTATACACTGCAGGGGTAGTTGCCAGGCAGAGGTAGCCTTGTCTGTATTGGTTCATTTCATGTATTCTTAGTCTTTGCGACACGAAAGGGGTGCCCTTCCTGAACGAGTTTGACATTTCTTTGCTCTCTGAGAGCCCCCCTACCTCTTCTTTGAAGTTATTCTCTGGGAAGAAAGATGTATATTAATACATCTTAAGTCTAATTATGTTGAGGGGAAAAGTTTAAATTATAGAGTGATTTTTTTAACTGAAAAGGAAAATAACATTTATGGAACACCTACTAAGTGCTGAAGAGCTTTATATACATTATTTATTTTAATTTTCATTATTGTCCCCATTTTAGAGATGAGAAGAAGGAGGCACACAGCTAGTAAGGGTCAGAGTCTAAATTTGAGTCCAGGCAAATACATTCTACTTGTTTTCTAGCAACACTTCTTTCATTCATTCCCAGTGTTTGCACATTCTTTCTTGAAGATGCTGACTTTTTTTTTAATTGGGGTAACATGTACAAAACATAAAATTTACCACTTTAACCATTTTGAGGGTACAGTTCAGTGGCATTAAGTACGTTTGCACTGTTGTGCAACCAACACACTATTCATCACCAAACTTGTTCATCATTCCAACTGTGATAACACCACTCTTTTAATTTTCCAAGCTTGAGATCATGATGTCATCTTGGATTCTGCCACTCATCTCCTCCTGTATTTAGACTGCCATATATTTTTATGCATTTCTTCAAAATGTCCACAAATTGGGTTCCTTTCATTAACTCTGACATGACCTTCACCCAAGTCTGACCACTGTGGATCACTCCAACACCTGCCTAATATAGCTCCATGCTTCAGAACCATCTGCCACCAACCCTCCAACATCACTGTCAAAGTGATGCACCAAAAAAACCAATTTCATCATGTCACTCCCTGCTCAAGATTCTACAGTGCCATTAAGTTCAAATATGGCATTAAGTGATTGAGCAGGCATTAACTGCTTTGTCTGACTTTAAAGGCAGTAAATGACCTGATTGCCTCTCTTCTATGCAACATTATTTGATGCTTCCTCCCTGCATCCTTCTCTACTCCAAGGGCTGTCTTCAATGTTAGCCTTACACTAAGTCTGCCTTACCATTCTTTTAAAATGAAGCT